CAGGGCGGAAAAACGGCTGCGGACCGCATGGCAGGGCGGAAAAACGGCCGCGGACTGCGCGGCAGGGTGGAAAAATGGCCGCAGACCATGTGGCACGGGCGGAAAATGGCCACGGACCACGTGTCACGGGTGGAAAAATGGCTGCGGACCACGTGTCACAGCGGAAAATGGCCGTGGATCCGGTTCGTACCCCGAGGCGGAGTTCGCAAACCGAGGTAAATTTTTGTGGCTGGAGCTGGTCGCAACCCAAAAAGTTCGTAAGCAGAGGCGTTGGTAACCCGAGGTACCACTGTAATGCTATAATGCAGTATTCAATATTGTATCATTTTCTGATTCAGCCAACACTGAAAGCTTAGATTCTAAGTTAAAATAATCTCTGCATCCCTTGAAAAACCTGCCTGTTCAAGAGAGCTGCCTGATCTCCAGTGCAATATGGCATGTTCTAGATTGCTGAAGGAGGTCAGAAATTATTCAAACTGCTCTTGAATTTTCAGATCAGTTAACTTAAGCTGAGAAAAGAAATGGTTTCCCCAGCAGCTCTATTTCATATAGTACAGGAAGGCCCCTCCAAAGGTCTGGAAAGCTTTGGAGACTGAAGGTATGGGAAGGAAAGGGGAAGGGAAGGATAGTAAACTTTCTTTTGATAAACTTTTAAATTATTTTAGAATGGAAACCTGTATTTATTTAAAAATATGAAGTGTCTATGTATGATTGAAGTGTTTTAGGCACAAGATAAATTGATCAATAATGATTTAACACTTTACAAATGACACTAACTGGATTTAGAACTCTATGGTTCTAAACAGTGTCATATAGTACATGTTAGTAAAATAACATTTCCTCTGCTACTATAGCCATAGAGTACTTGCATTTCTAAAAGGAAAGAAAGAAAAAAAAAACTTAATCTACAAATCCCAAGAACTTCTGTAAAATTACATAATGCTGCATTATATAAATGGTATAGTACTGAATTAACATAGATGATTAGTTCATTTTTGAGATTATTGGAAGCCAGAGCAGAAAATAAAACTTTCACTCAAATATACCAAGGATTTCAAAATGTGCAGTTCTCATAAAATACAAGAAAGTTGGCCAGTTTGCTTGTAACTTTAAGAAATACAGAATGGGCTTAGACTGTCATAAAAAACTGTTCAACATCCTAGTTACTCCCTGTATATCATTTACTGTTCTCAATTCATGAAACAAAAAAAGCAGGGTGGAAAACAGATATATTTGTTTTCACATGAGAGAAAACCAGAGCCATCCCATAACCACCAAAAGAGAAATGAAGGGAATGGATCATATTTCTTAGTAATCTGCCAGTGTTTAATGATAGCAATTATTCCCCAAGCTCAGGCTCACCAGCAGAGGCAAGGCTAAATGACTCTGAGAAGCTTGAGAAAACTTAAGCAAGATGACACTATCTTTAGGTTACAAATTTATGATTCATATCAGTATGGCCAGCAGAACATAACCTCAGAATTTTGAAGTGTTATAATGACTAAGAAAATGTAGCAGCTCCTTGGCAAATGTCATGATTTATAAGTTAGGAAGTATAAGTTAGGAAGTACAGGAAGTATGGAATGGGAAAAATATCTTCAGAGCTTCATACCTTAAGCAAAGAAATCCTAGGCTTTTCCTGCACTTCATCCCCATCACTGTGAATATGATGCAACATAATCTCATCTGTCAAAAATAATGGACTTCCAATGTTCCCCAAATGGCTCAGTACAAAGTATTTGCAGGTCAAACAGTAGGTGAAAGCTAGCAAATTTAGGGGGCATTTTTTTATTTATTTATTTGGGCAAGATAATGTTGCATTTTCAAATTTGCATGGAATAACTTTCATATACATTGGACATCAGGAGTTATTACTTAAACAAATAATTAATTGACTCTGGAAGATAAAAAATTGCTTGCTCACAAAGATTTGTTTTATTTGCTTTGCGCTGGTGTTTGGTAAGAAAGCAAAAGCTTATTTATTTACTTATTGGGTTTATATACTATTGAATCAATTCATGGCAGCTGACAAGGTAAAATAAATAAAACCACTATGCAACAAGTGGTGCCTTCAAGTCACAACTTGGTTGCTTTGGTCGCCACTGCCTGCCTCCCTTCTTCACTATGGGGGAGAGCAAGACAGTGATCACTGGAGTCAGATGGAAAGTGACAATTAGCATTCTCTCCCTTCCCTTCTTATTTCTCTCTGCTTACCTCTGCAGTGAATAGCAGCTGCTGGTCCTGACATATGCAGAACATAGTAAATGATGATGTAAGAGAACACATGACTAAAACTGCTTTCAGAGTGTATCTTGATTTGCTCTGAGAAAGCTCTAAGGGGCCCAGAGGCAGGGGAAAGGAAAGAAGAGAGAATCATTATCCCTGCAGCTGGTATGAGGAGCAATGCCAAAGAGAAGCAGCATTACTGGTGATATAGACATTAAGGAAAAACTCAGGCTTCAGGGTACTGGATAATGTTTCAAGTGCTTTAATCAGTGTCAGTTAGGCCTGTTTGGTGTTTTTTTCATGGCTTTTACATTGCCTTGAATGCATTCTGCCTTAGCAATTTTAAACAGAAACTAACTAATGATGGACAGATTCAAGAAATTCAACCTCAGTTGTTATGTCACATAACACATAATCTCTGTTGCATTCCCACCACTAGGCTACTTCAAAAAGAAGTGCAAAGATTCATCAAGTTTTCATATGCAAACCTGAGCTTGCACAAACCACATTTCACATTCTAGAAGGATGGTACCTCATCCTTCAACATAGAAATCATATGTATATGAATATGAATATACTTGGACTTCTTGAAAGCTTATGTGGAAATCAACCAGAATATCACACTGAATGTACCAACCCAAGTTCATTCTGACAGTGCACTATTCAACAGAACGACCAGATCAAGCAACAAAAAAGATGTATTTATGAGCAGAATGTTGAATGGGCAAGTGAAACTAGGAGCCTTGCTCTGTTGGTCAGAAAACATACAAAGGAGTACAGGAAATACGTTTAGCTAGTTTAGCACTTAATAGAAATTTCTCTATTTAAGAAATCTTGGTAACTTTGTTACAGAACTATTTTTTATGGAAAGAGGAGGAGGAGGAGTTAAACAAAACAAAAGGAATAGGACAATACCTAGTGGTACAGATTTTATTAGAGAACAATTTCATCCACTTTACCCCGGAAATCTTTTAGCCACTCCCTTCTCCTATTCAATTTATTCTTTAGAGTTGTAGAAAGCGTGTCAAATATTTCTAAGTCCACAGCTTTAAATCTTTAAATCCATAACTGGAGAAATGCGAGATCCTTTGATGTCAGCAACATATAAATAAGTGACTAGTTGAAAGAAGATTGGTTATTTTACCTGGATGGGTGGCTCAATCATGATCCATGCAGGCAGCATCAAATTTGGATTCAGAGGCTGAGTTCCAACCCGGAAATAAATCCCACCATAGCTGTCACAGGCCCATATGTTCTGATTTCCACATGCTAAACTTGTAAGTTTCACAGCACCTAATTAGAAGTGGGAGACATTCAGTTAGCCTCTTCAACTGTGATTTATGACACCAGTTAGGTTTAACCTACATGGTTACTATTCCCCCCACTCACCCAGAGACTAATAATGGTTTCAGGTGGGTGGGGATTAAATACTCTTCTCCAGTATTCCACAGCCATTTTAATATAAAATGAAAAAAGGGCGATCTAAGCACATACAGTGGTACCTCTAGTTACGAACTTAATCCGTTCCGTGACTCTGGTTGCAACTT